TGAGAGAAAATCGGTTACGGTGGTTTGGACATGTGCAACGAAGGCCTACTGACGCTCCGATTAGAAGATGCGACTATGGGACAGAGGTTCAGGGCCGAAGGGGTAGAGGAAGACCTAGGAAAACTTTGGAAGAGACTCTAAGAAAAGACTTAAAGTACTTGGATCTAACGAAGGACATGACACAGGACCGAGCACAATGGCGTTCTAAGATTCATATAGCCGATCCCACTCAGTGACTTGGATTTTCCAAGTCTCCAACCGAGAAGTTTTCCTCACTCGGGAAATTAAGGGAACACTACCCCAACCTACATGCTCCACTCAGAAAGCTTCAACATACAAGCTTCAACAAAAGAAAATTCAAAGAACTTAGCGAAGAAGGTTTTGGTGTATTTAACACAATACGTTGAAATGAAGGAAAATTTATTTATTGATATCCCCGATAAGCTACAAATATGTACATATACATGAGTCAAAATAAACAAACAAGAGGGAGCCTTCACAAGGGTTGCTTAGGAGAAGTCTCAGCAGTCGGTAGAGCCCCAGAAAGAGAAGGCACCGGAGGGGGATCATTCGGAGCCTCAGTACTGGACAGAACCCTAGAAGGAGGAGGCATCAGAGGTTGATCATTTGGAGCTTCATTACGCGGTACAGCCCCAGAAGACGAAGGCAATAAATTCCTTTGGAACAAACCCACAAATCTCTGATGATCAAGTAAAACCTGACCATCAGTTTCCTTCATCTGGTCAAGCTTCCTCTTCATGTTTGTAGCATAGTCATGTGCGAGCCGGTGCAACTGTTTATTCTCATGCTTGAGCCCTCTAATCTCCTGTTTGAGACTCATCACCTTCAGCCGCCAATGATTCAACTTGGCGGGTTCGAGCAAATAGGCGTTGGGCCATATTAGACACAGAACCTGCACACTGAACACTGAGAGCCAGCGAATCCTTAACAGCTAACTCATCAGACCGTTTGGAAAGTAGTCTGTTATCTTTGGGAGTGAGAAGGTTCCTGGCCACCACCGCAGCAGTCAGGTCATATCATTCTTCATCACGGAATCCCCAACGGTAAGAGGACCAGTAGGGGAGACGAAGGATGGGCGCCATATGTTGTCTGGAGAAGGCGGGGCTGCCTCTTCAACAAGGTTCAAGTCAAAACGACGGTCGGAGGGGCCAGACATTTTCAAAGGTGTTGAAGAGAGAAGAGGTTGGACAAATCAAGATCTTAGAAGTGCAAGAATGGAGCTTCTACTGGTGGAGATTCAAGTGTGCTTTGGAACTTAATGCCAGCCCCTATAAAAATCTGCACTCGACGGAGCTCCAGAAATCGAAGAGGCGCCTGCTCAGAAATCGAAGAGGCGTTTGCTTTCTCAAAAGTTGGGCTGCTTAGAGACCACGAGGGTTGATCTCAGAAATCAAAGAGGCGTTTGCTTTCTCAAAAGTTAGGCTGCTCAAAGACCACGAAGGCCGATCTCAGAAATCGAAGAGGCGCTCGCTTTCTCAAAAGCTGGGCTTCTCAGAGACCACGAGGGCCGATCTCAGAAATCGAAGATGCACCTACTTTTCCAGCCTTGTCAGCACCTGTCACACGCACACTCAGCTTTGCGGAAATTATGGGCATTCTGTCGAAGACTTCTGAGGAAGTAGAAAACACATGAATCTTACTGTTCAATCACCCACTTCCCACACGCAACAATAGCTCATGGGTACCACAGATAACTTTGCCAAAGTTCTCTGCCAAAATTGAGCACGTAAAGCTTGCAGCTCCCACTACATCGCTCTGACCAAGAAAGGTAAAAGAATAGCAAAGAAACAGCACTAACAAAGTTTAGATCCATAAATTTTGAAGGTCTAGCTACCATATTATTACCCACAATGGTAAAGGAACAGTACCACTGCTGGATAATTGGAAAGTCCCTGTGTGTCAACCTCTGTGCTTCGTGGCAAGGTAGACTAGCAAACATGCCCAACCTTTACTCACACTCAAGAAAACACTACCAATAAGATTGCTTGCTCCAAAATCGAAGAGGCACCGTCCTCCGAATCTCGAGAGCTAGACTCCCAACATGACTACTTTCTCAAAAATCGAAGAGAGGGTAAAGGAACAGTACCATTGCTGGATAATTGGAAAATCCCTGTGTGTGTCAACCTCTGTGCTTCGTGGCAAGGTAGACTAGCAAACATGCCCAACCTTTACTCACATTCGAGAAAACACTCCCAACAAGATTGCTTGCTCCAAAATCGAAGAGGCACCGCCCTCCGAATCTCGAGAGCCAGACTCCCAACATGATTACTTTCTCAAAAATCGAAGTGACACTGCTCCCCGAATCTCGAGAGCCAGACCCCCAGCATGATTGCTTTCTTAAAACTCGAAGATGCATCGTTCTCCGAATCAATCGAAGAGACGCTCGCTTTCTCAAAAGCTGGGCTGCTCAGAGACCACGAGGGCCGATCTCAGATATCGAAGAGACACCTACTTTTCTAGCCTTGTCAGCACCTGTCACACGCACACTCAGCTTTGCGGAAATTATGGGCATTCTGTCGAAGACTTCTCGAGAGCCAGATACCACAGACCACTTTTTCAAAGTGCTCTGACAGAGTTAAAACATGTGAAGCTGACAGCTCCCACTACCGTGCTATGACCAAGCAGGGTAAAGGAATAGCATTACTACTTGTTGTTAGGGAGACTCCTATATATGTCGACCTCCATCCCCAACGGACAGGCAGACCTGCAAAAATGCTCAACCCTTCCTCATATCTGAGAGGGCACTCCCAACGAAGCCTTTCGAAATATTCAGCTTTCTTTCCCCCCGATAATACCTCTACAAACAAGCTATACTAGAGCAAGAATATCTCATATCATCAGGGTTAAAAGCAAGAGTATCCCATATCATGCTTTTTCCCTGTCTTTTCCTTTGGCCTTGTTTGTACCTGCAAGACAAGGAGAAAGAGAGCAATCAGTCAGCACTTGGAATCAAGCTTCCAGCCAGGAACTGACTGCCTGGAACCCCTTACCTGATTACTTACCTGGCATTGCTCTCGAGTACTCATCTTCAACATCTTATGTTTCCAGGGAAGATACCGCATCTGCTTGAGGAACAGATAGGGCAAGTGCGAAGGATACAAGGAAGCATGTGGAGAGACAAGCGTAACAGCACACGTGCCGATACATCCATTACTCTGTCAAAAGCAAAAGTATCCCATATCAGCAGGGTCGAACGTACTCTAGATTTGATGGACTTGTTTTGACCCTCAAATTCTTCAGTCGGCTCTGGAGGAAACCAGAAAACCCTCCAGCTCAGTTCAAGAATAAGCCTGTGGAAAGTTACTTCTTTCAAAAGCAAAAGTATCCCATATCATCTCTTTCTCATTTTTCTTCTCTTTATCCTTCATGCTGCTGCAAGATGGGGAGAAGGTGAACAATCAGCCGGAGCTCTGATTGCTTACCTTGTCTGTCACCTCTTTCAGCAGATCCCCTAGCTCGGCGACTTGGGGGACTCCTACTACATGGTTTGTATCGCGCTTGACCAAGCCTGAAACTACAAGTAAGCTTCAAGTGAAATTGATACATTACCTTGTGCATCTCCACCAGTTAAAGATACCACCCCTGGATGGAGGAAGAGTACTTCCAGAGAAGATGCCACATCTACCTATGAGACAGATAAGGCAAGTCAAGACGATACCACACTCCGATACTTAGAAGTTTCGTGATTACGAGATCATTCTCTCACAATATTTCCTAATGTCATTTGTACTAAATTATTCACTTGTACTCACTAAAGGAGAGCTTGAACCTATGTACTTGTGTAAACCCTTCACAATTAATGAGAACTCTTCTATTCCGTGGACGTAGCCAATCTGGGTGAACCACGTACATCTTGTGTTTGCTTTCCTATCTCTATTCATTTATATATACTTATCCACACTAATGACCGGAGCAATCTAGCGAAGATCACAAAAAGCGACCGTTTTTGCTGCCTAGGATCTATCTTGCAAGAGAACGGAGAATTAGATGGAGATCTCAACCATAGAATACGAGCTGGATGGATGAAGTGTAAGAGTGCATCCGGCGTGTTATGTGACCGTCGTAGGCCACTGAAGCTCAAGGGAAAATTTTATAGGACGACAATAAGGCCAACGATGTTGTATGGCACCGAATGTTGGACGGTGAAGCATCAACACGTACACAAAATGGGTGTAGCGGAGATGAGGATGCTTCGTGGGATGTGTGGGCACACGAGAAAGGATAAGATTGGGCATGAGGATATCCGAGGTAAAGTAGGAGTAGCCGAAATTGAAGGAAAGATGAGAGAAAATCGGTTCCGGTGATTTGGACATGGGCAAAGAAGGCCGACTGACGCTCCGGTTCGAAGATGTGACTACGGGACAGAGGTTCAGGGCCAAAGGGGTAGAGGAAGACCTAGGAAAACTTTGGAAGAGACTCTAAGAAAAGACTTAGAGTACTTGATCTAACGGAGGACATGACACAAAACCGAGCGCAATGGCGTTCTAGGATTCATATAGCCGACCCCACTTAGTGGGAAAAGGCTTTGTTGTTGTTGTTGTTGTTATTGTGAACAGTGCCCATTTAATGAAAATTTCAAATAGCAAGTATACCCATGCATATTTTACAAAATTACAATATTTACCCCTGCATTATTCTCTTTGATAATTATTATATCACATTCAACACCACATCCTTTTTAGTCATTAAACATATTAACAACATTTTTATGAAAGTTTATCAAACACTAAGACACTATTTTGTTTTGTTAAAAGCACTTTCACCAAAACAAAACAACAACAACAACAACAAAAGTTTAACAAACACTCAATAACTTTATTTTAGAGATGGTTATTCTCACTGCACAACAAAAACAAATTTTTTTCGAAAAAACATAACACCAAACTAGCCCTAAACCAACTAAAACTTATCAATCATTTTGGTGGCCTAAGTATTTTTAATGAAGGGTTAAAATTCTATAAATAGATCCATTATTGCAAGTACGATGCACTAAACTTACGTTGCTTGAAAAATATACTCAAAGCTCTCTGTGTACATGGCAACCTCCAATCCAAGTGTTTGTTTGAAGCTCCTCATCGATACAAAGGGTAAACGAGTTCTCTTTGCTGAAGCTGGCAAAGACTTTGTGGACTTTCTCCTCACAATCCTGTCTTTGCCTCTTGGCACTGTCATCCGCCTCCTCTCCAAAGATGGCATGGTTGGCTCGTTAGGCAAGCTTTATGGCAGTGTCGAAAGCCTAAGCAGCACATACATGCAACCACACTTTAACAAGGAATCCCTTCTGAAACCTAAGGCAACTGCAACAAGTGATGTTGGTGCTGATGTCCTTCATATGCTGACGATAGATGACTCCTCTGCTGAAAAGTCAATCTATGGTTGTCGTAATTGTTGTTGTAATTACAGCAGCAACCGGCCAATCGTTGTAACCGACGACCCTAAAGCCACTTGTCCGCACTGCCGTTCAAGCATAACTTCACCGGCGACTTTTGTCCATCGATCCGCTGCTGAAAGAACAACGTCCGGCGAGGGAGGGTATGTGAAAGGTGTTGTGACTTATATGATTATGGATGACCTGGAGGTGAAGCCTATGTCTACCATTTCAAGCGTAACCATGCTCAACACGTTCAACGTCAAGGATGTCGGTGCCCTTGAAGAGAAGGAGGTCCATCTTACCATGGAAGAGGTCTGAAAAGTACCTAATCACACCCGGTTTTTTTTTTTTACTGTTCTCTCAATTTTATGAGTCCATATTTTGCAATCGACCTAATGTGTGATCTAAACCTTGTACGTAGGGTGTCAAATTGCTGAGGGTATCATTGCTGTCAAACTTGGTTCTGACCACCGTGTTCCTTGATAAGAATGAAGCGTGAACACCTCAACTTTATTTGCACTTCAACTGCAAGTATTATGGAATGAACAGTCTGAATTTTCTACGAGGTGTTTGTTTGTGTTTGTTTCTGAATGATATTTTGTTTTGCTTACCTGGTAATGTAATGTAATTAATGACCTATGTAGTTTTGGGTTTCAAACTTTTTAGATGTTATGTAATCTAGGACTTTTGTTTGAAGGTTCCTGTCTAGATCTATTGTACCTTTGGTTTTGGATTTGGACTATGTTCTGTTATGTATTGTTATTTTGGAAGTGATACTGTCTCGTTTTGGATTTCAGTTCTTTTATGTTGAATTATATTTTGATATAAATTATGTTCTCTTATTCTGTAGTCATATGGTTTTGCAGCTACACAATGCCCTTTTAAGTGCTGGACTATCATTCACCATACAATTGCTACAAAAATATTTAAATAAAGTTAGTCTTCCATTATTGTCCTTTGGAAAAAGAAAAGGGGTCGGATCAACGTCCAAGCTGATGCAGACGGTCTTGCTTTTCATACAAATCCCACCACTACATGTTCACTTTCTTATTTACAAAGTTTGAAAAGAAAAAAAAGAAAAACACAATTTAATAATTCAACTGAAATAATGCGAAGTCTTTGCTTTTCGTACAAAGCTCATGCAAACTCATCAATTTAAATTACAGCCACGACAACAAAGTAGAACAAACGAGTGTGATCTAAAATCATTTTTGTGATTTAGAGCATTCTTAATGCAAATTTTAGACCTATATTTTTATATTTAAATTTTAAGAAAAATGCCAATTTGGGTGTTGGAACCAAATTAGTGCACTGCCGTGGTTGGGGCAAAAATCCAAGTAACATGTAAAACAGCAAACAACCGTGAGCAACAGCCTAAGATGCGAGGGTGTATTGGTCAAAGGTTCTCCGATAGTAAAGTTAGTAAGCAAGTATAAGACTCAAGCAATGGGTAAGAGAATTAGAGTGCGATGATTGTGTTACCAGAGACAAACTCTAGATGGGTGTATTTATACCAGTCGGGAGAGAGACATTTTTAGGATAGAATCCTCGTGCTAAGCCAGGAGAATTCTAGAAGATATCTAAAAGTAGATATTGCTTCCTCTTTAGGAATGTGATTAGTTGTGGTGTACACCAATATTTAGATTGGAAGAACTCCAAGATACATAGAGGATCTGATTGATTTCGTGCTAGATCAGACATTGTTATCTTGCGGAACAAAAATGGTCATTCTCGATGAAGTCGCTCGGATTTCTCTCACTGCTCAGGAACAGGATGATGATGACACCAGCTTGAGTAAACCCTAATGCACAATCACTGCATTGTTTATTGCAGTTAGTTTTAAGAATCAAAACAAGAACAAGCATACTAACCTGTAGGGGCAAGTGTTCTATACGGAAAATCACAATTTATACCGAGTGGAGGGACGAACCTTTTTGTCTATATCTTTTGGCAACTGCCTCCTCCAATTAAGGAGGTAGTGCCTTGCAGTTTGTTATCAATTATCTGCTTATTAAGTTCAAATTATACTTAATTAATGATATTTCCGTCCAATATAGTTATTTAATATCCAGACATTATAACCCTAGTGAAGTCCTATAGTTATCATAACTCATCTTAGTTAGCTCATGCTTCTTACAATGTTTGATGAGCTCACATAAGGAACTCTACATTCTCGCACATGAGTGAGATCAAACATGCTCAACAGTATTGCATTTGCTTGGATAAAAGTGATCACTGAGTTACTTTAACTAATCGACTTCGACAATTAACCAAAACATCATACTTGCAGGACTCAAGAAACCATGATATCAAATTCTTGCATCAGTTTCCATAGTCACATACTCATACAATATATTATAGCTATTGTCATCGAGAAAACATAAATTGGGATCAAAATAGTATACTAATATGTAAACTCCCACATTTTTGGTCCAAATATATCATGAATATCTCATTCATATTAACCTTGCAAAGATTTACTTCATATAATTAACATGTTCAGAAATTGTGCATTGCATAATAGATGAAACAAATCAACTCAGTACATTTCTTAGCATGTAATATAAAAAAAATAGTAAGGTTTTCATTCTTAAGTAACTTACTCCCACATTAATAATGATCCAGTGAAGGCTGCAATCCCATTTTCAAGACATGTTTGTTGAAGACTATGACATTCAGGGCTTAGTTAATGGATCTGCAATCGTGTCATGAGTACTGATGTGTTCAATCTATATGACTCCTCCCCTCACTTTGTCTTGCACCTTCAAATATTTGATGTCCATCAATTTCGAAGCCTCTGACCTCTTCTTGTTCTTTGCAAAGAAGACTGCTGCAGTGTTATCACAGAAAATCTTCACTGGTCTCTCTATACTTCTTACAATTTTCATGTGATAGATCAAATCCTTCATCCAATTCCCTTGTCTCATTGCTTCAAAACATACTATAGATTCTGATTCCATGGTTAACACTGCCCTATTGCTTTTTACTTCTCCAAGATATTGCCCCCTCCAACAAACATGAAAATGTAGCCACTGGTAGACATTCTATAATCTACACAACCTCCCAATCAGCATCAGTGTAATCAATTTTAAGTTATCAACATGACTGTAACACAGTACATACTGATGTGTCTTCTTCAAGTATCTGAGAACTTTCTTCGGAACCTCCCAAAGGTTTCTTTTACTAATTTCATTTTAAGGTTGTGATAAGTCAATATTATACTATATATTTTACCCTATACTTAGTGTTAATCTATTGGTTATTTTGTGTGAACTTTGATACTTCGTTATGTATTTTCAATGTAAGACATTCGACTTCCTCTTAAGCAAAAAGTGACCAAATGGATGAATTTTCGAGTGATTCCAATTGGAGGATGTTCATGATCTTTCAAGATGATTGTGTCAAAGTTTTAGATTTTTCTACCATGTCTTTTGACCGTGACAATGAAATAATGGCACAGCGCGCAGCTTTCCCATATTGACGTTTTTGGACGTTTTAGGTATTTTCAAGGTCAATATGGCATATTTTGAGGAAGATTCCTTCAGAGTTGTTTATACCATACTTAGGGTCTCCGTATTTAGATCTCGTATAAATACTCGGGGAACTCAAATGTAATTATGTAATAAATGGAGGGGCAAATATGTAAAAAGGGGAGGAGCCCTTATTCTATAAAAGGGCATCCTCACCCTCACAAACCCTAAGCCTCCTCATATCCCCTAAGCTCTAAGCTCTCTAAAAGCTCTCACTCTCATATGCAGAGCTCTATCTCCCTCAGAAATACAATATTAGTGTGGACGTAGTCCAAACATTGGGGTGAACCACGATACATCTTGTGTTATTTACTTTTTTGCAGATTCACGGTCGGATTTACGTTGTTCCAAGACCCCTCCAGTTTTGTGCATCAACATTTGGCGCCGTCTGTGGGAAACGACATAAAAAAAATCATGTCGGTTCTCTTTCATTTTTTCACCTCCACCGTGAATCTGTAAAAATCAAGAACCCAGAGTTTTCCTAAAAAAAAAAAACCCAGAAACTTACAAACTCTCGCTTTCCCGACTCCTTCTCATCTCTCTCTTTCCCCTGTTTCTCTATCTAGATATACGCATATATATATATGCAGCAGCGAGGCAGAGCGAACAACCGAAGATCCAGGAGCTTTTCGAGATCACGCATTGCGGTTGAGGGATCTTAGCCCGGGTCTTCTTCCTCTCCTCATCTCACTCGCTCTCGTTCGAATTTGAATTCTCAACTCTCTCGATCGCCATTTCTGTCAACAATGGCTGCTTTTGCTAATGGGCAAGAGTGGGAGGTGCAGAAGAATTATTGGGTGGAGCACTCCACCGATTTGACCGTTGAGGCCATGATGCTCGACTCCAAGGCCTCTGATCTCGACAAGGAAGAACGACCTGAGGTGCTTTCGTTGCTCCCTCCCTATGAGGGCAAATCGGTTGTAGAACTCAGGGCTGGGATTGGTCGTTTCACTGGAGAATTAGCTGAAAATGCCAGTCAGCTTTTCACATTGGACTTCATTGATAGTGTGATAAAGAAGAATGAAAGCATTAATGGACACCATAAGAACGTCAAGTTCATATGGGCTGATGTGACATCACCTGATCTGAAGATTTCTGAAAACTCGGTGGATTTGGTATTCTCAAATTGGCTTCTTATGTATCTGTCAGATAAGGAGGTAGAGTATTTGGTGGAAAAGATGATGGGATGGTTGAAGGTCGGTGGATATATCTTTTTTAGAGAATCTTATTTCCACCAATCTGGAGACTCCAAACGAAAATCCAACCCAACTCATTACAAGGAACCAAGATTTTATACCAAGGTCCATCAGTTAGTGGTACTGGTTTTGTCCCAGATGATGAACCAAAATCTGAGTCTTCATCGGAAAGGGCACAGCGCCAAAAGCGAAAAGCAGAAACTAGAAGACAGCAGCAGCATCAGCATCTTACTGGCCAAGCAGAAAGCTCAGGAAATAGCGAACGGGCTCTCGTTCCGGGTCGGGTTCTTCGATCACAGTGGCCACCTCCAGCTCGAGCCCCTCTCCACTGTCGAGAGCTTCGACCCCATCAAGTCTCTCCCTGGTTTCGCCGTCACACTGTTGATAGCAGAAGAAGAGCTCTGCAGTCCCTTGGCCTGGATGAGGAGAAGAGCTCCACGTCTCGCCGATCTCGAGCAGGACCACAATAGTAACTGTAAATACAGTGAAATCTAGGAGAAAAAGATATAGGGGATTCACTCTCGAACCTAACGGATGAGACGAATGGGTCGGGTCATGGACCGGGTCTTGGCGACACTCGAAAGTTGTGCAACGCTACACCTTCCACCAGGTCCCACATCAACCCTCCTATGGTTGGCTCGAAGTAGATCGGACAACAGCCTTTCACTCAGCACCCAGGATCATGGACAACGACCTGCTGGATGAGATCAATAAAAGCACTCTAATGGGGTTTTACAGCTGGAGTACACCAGCTGGTGTTCAGACAGCAGAAAAAGAAAAAGGGAAGAAAATGAATACAGAAAGGAAAATCCAGGATTATACTTTTGCTTTTGTCGACCACCAAAGCAGAAGATGTCATCAACTTTTAAAAAAAGAAAACTTTCATCATGTATGTTCCCATTTTTCTGAAGAAGCCACTGGAAGACGCACATGGAAAAAGATCTGCAACAACCCAGTACGGACCAACGACTGCTTTATTTATTTTTGAATGATGTAATTTTTTTTTCTTATCTTTCGGAGACATCTGTATAAACCCCATCAGAGAGTAAAAAAAAGGAATAATGGGCTAG